CATAAATTCGTGGACAGATAAAACCGTGATCACAATGCTGCATAGCCTGCCAAGGCAAAGCGGATGGACAGGACGTCATTAGACTCAACTTTCAGTCTTGCGAACATGCTGCCTTTGATATTTCAAACTCAGTTCAATTTCAGACTTTTGAAAACGTCAACAAATAGCGATAAACTAAGGCGCTCAAAGAACCAAGGCGTGATGTCCAAAGGTCTCTACGCAAAACAAAAGTTACCTTATATGGGATTTTGATGGGTACGCAACTTGGATTATAGCTTTCATCCATAAGCTAGCTTTGTTGGAAAGATTGGTAAATTCATCCCGAAGGACCTCAAAGTTAGACAATTTAGCCCCAAATGTCCAATATACGTACAAAGATAGGAAGAACTGAGCATAAAAACGTTGGAACTACATTTCGTTATCCCTTTACAAAGAAAATAAATTTGAGCGATTCATAGGATGAAAAATACGTAACCGGAGAATCAACTGAAACATCTGACCTGCTACAGTTGCTAGTAATAACTCTTTCTTAACGGAATCCAAGCTCATCAAACATTTCATGGTGCCATACCTAGTCACCTCCAGTTTAGCCTCGCTTCCATTCCCCAAACACGGACTTAGAGGTAAACATCGCATGATCCGATTCTGGACAGGGATGATGAAAATTACCTCGAGCAAAAGCGGGTAAGCTCAAGGTGGTTCCTCTTAACCCAGCCCAAAGTGTGAAGCTTTGCAAGTCTAGGCTTTGTCCCATGCGAAATGAGAGCTTGCAATATGTCATCGTGTAAGAGAAAGCCTTCCTCAGATACAATCGTTTACACTGGATATTCTATAAACTATTCTTGAGTGATTGGAACTTTAGAAAGGAAACAAATGTTGTTTTGCATAGAGAATGTAAAGCCATTCTGTGACCAAACTGGTGAAGGGCGTGTAATAGGACACAGGGTCATTTGTTGGTAGCGATTCACTTGAATAGATTCCACAACTTTCGCCTCCTAGCCACTGTAAGTGCAGACAAGCTGTCGTATCGTCTAAAAGATGCCTAGAAGAGCTAACCACGAAATAACATCAATGTAGATACGCATTTTTTGATTCATATAAACAATTGAGAGACCTCGGAGATGGGGTTAGTTGCCTGATGCATTACTGTACTCCTATACAATGGATCGAGGCAGTATACCGTGATCTCACACCTTCGTTCTGTAAAGCAAACAGTCTGATGTTGTTTCCAGACAAAATTGCCACTTGTGGTGACATGAGGATAAATATAAGTAGCATAAGGGGGACACTTCTGAGGATGACAGACTTTATAGTTAATTAACGCAAGCAACGGCGGGGAATATCTAAGTCTTCACCCTTAACTTGATGTTCCAAAGACTTAGCACCTGAAACAAATTCTTTTTCACGTGGCCTACGTTCACTTCAGTATTGTAAACTAACAGCACTCACTTGATCGGGTAGTAGCAACAGATTTTTAATTTGGTTTATTTAAAGCCGCGGAACCGTAAAAATGAAACAGGAGAGCATTACCAGAAACCAATTTTAGGCATGAACAAAACAGGTCTTAGATCCTTAATCGGATACATAAAAGATTTGATTTATAAAGTACAAATTCTTAAAGTTAAATGATATTAACATGAAGATCAGCAATAATAAAACGCACTCACTCCATTTCATAAGTACCACCAACGTGGACAATATTTCCTCTAATGTGGTAGCGTTCGCTCCCATTGTTTTTTCAACAAATTGTATTCGCCACGAATCCACCATCCATCTGCCTCCACTCCCTCCTCCTCCACCATCTGTTCCTTCATCAGACAGTGATGATCCTGTAGAGTTCACTGTTACATTTGCCACGGACGTTCGTCCACGATGAGGCATCCCAGCCGTTAAAGCAAGCGCTCTAAGAATCAGATTCACTGTTCCAAGACGACCAAGAGTTGCAGAATTACTGCGCCCCCGGCGACCGCAGTAGCAGCGGAGGGTGGTAAGGAGAATACGAAGGTTGGAAGCAAGGGAGGCAGGGACGCGAGACTGGGAGGATCGACGAATGAGATAGGAGGGCCGACGACGACTACGATGGCTAGGAGGAAGACAGAGGCCACCATGGGAGGTGTTGCTGGCAGACCTGACAGACGTTCCAGTAGTTCCAGTTGTTGAAGGACGGGAAAGAAGGGGGCGGGAGCCGATGGAGGACTGAAGGTGAGCAACCTCGAAAAAAAATTGAAGGCAATGAAGTGCATTAAATGGCAGATGGAGTCAGCAAAATCCAATAATTTCTACCAAAATTTACTTTCACTCAGCCAAATAAGCCACTAATATCAATGGCAGCGTTGTGGTAAAAGATTACCCAACAAATGTGGCTTTGTCGAAATCGTCAAATGAGGACACTATCAATAGACAGAGCTATGCAATCTACGCTATTGAAACTTGTTTCCAAAGTAATAAAACTCTCGCTATCTCTCCGTTGCAGTTGCCCTGAAAGCTGCGAAACGTATAAATAAGACCAACAAAAGAAGTCAAAAGAAACTTGCGACTAGTAACCTTAAATTGCCTTTAAAACTCGACCTACCTGGACTCGGAGAATACCAACAGTTATTGGTATGCATTGGCTAAGTCTAGCACGAAGCGTAAATCTTCGATCAAAGGGTGCAAGTTTGCAAAGTAGCTAGACGACAGGAAGAATAAATTAGGAGCACATATAGCAATACTTTGTGCATTTTAAAGAGCAGCTCATCAACAGATATATTTTCCGAATACTCAGCACGAAGTGCTTGGAGTATGACGCGAGTCCCACCAGCATTAACGATACCAAGTAGATATTTTTCTTCGTCTAAGAAGTAAAGTAAAGGGCATCACAAAGATCAAATCACCTGGTCCAGTGCATAATTTACTAAGTAAGGAGATCGCTTGTAATCGAACACCTTGGGAAACGTAGACTTGTAAGACGAACAGGACATTCGTGATTAATTTTTCATCCTCGAAATTCCATCGATTAACAGGAACTGGCAATGAAGCGTAAAAAAGCGCGCTTTTCCTACTTTTATTGGAAAGAGATCGATTTAAGGCAGATAGTACTGCAACAACAGAATCTTTCTTTTCATCGGGGTCAGAAACTGCAGCAGATTCATTTGCGTACTCTGACAGTTCACTAAATAGAATGTTTAAATTATCTCTGGTCTCCATTTAGATCATTTGATGCATCTTTCATTGCCTGGCTATATAGAAGGAATCGCTGTTAATAAAGACTTGAAACAACACAGCATCGAAACATAAACAAAAATTCTTACAAAACAACGATTCACTTCCCTCCAAACATGCGAAAATTTGAGCAAAGGAAAATGGATGTGTTTGAACCAAACACAGTCCAACGCCAACATGCACCAATCAAACGCTAGCACATTGAGTCTTCGCGGCAGTTAATGAGACATTCTATTTACGCGCCATCCTATTTTAATTTACATTACAACTTTAAAGCAGACAACATTCAAGAGATCTTTTATTGTTATTTGATAACTAATAGATTTTGAAAATTAATTTTAAAACTATTTGTTACTATTAGTATAGCATAGAAGGCTACCTTTGAAATCAGTTAACTTATACTAGAGAAAATTAACGGGTTATAAATTCATGGAGGTTCGGATGTTTGTGATGCTTCTTATATAACGATTTTACTATACCCTAGATACTAGCTATAAACCATTTCTGGTCGTCAAATGACATTTACTTCAATTCGAGATTCCCCAAAATGTAAGTGAGACCTTAAACTTTAGCACTATACATTAGCCCCGTATAGCAGAGGATAGTTCTGCTGATCCGTCCTAAAACTTTATTCTCCCGATAAAGCTTTACTTCTTATTCTTACTGAAAGTTGCATATTTTAATGCTTTGCTTATGGGACCACATGTATTTAGGCGGTCACTTTAGGTTTTGTTCGGCCCTTGTAAACGCGGGCTGGTCTTCTAGCAATGTCCGACTCCACTTTGTAATATATTCTAGTTGTTTAAGTGGACTTTTATAGGCGAGAGGCGGAAACCAATTGGAAGCGTGGATCACGTGCGCGAGGTCGACGAGAAGCCTCCCTGCGATTGACACCTCCTGTTCATCACATCTGTACCTTATTCCCCTTTCCTTCTTATAGAGATGCCTAATAAATCGTCTACAACCAACTTCCCTTTAAAGTCTGAGAACCAGGGACCAGAGGGTAGACAGGCAGTAACTACACATTTGTCCTGTCGTCTTCAGAATACATGTATTTAGCTGCACTTACTGTTTTCTTTGATCATCTTCATCGTTTAAAGTGTGCCGAAGTTCTGCCTCCACAGCTTTACCACAGTAAGTGGGGGCAATGTGAAGTCATAACAGTTTCACCAATTCGGGTCTGACTGAACTAAAAGCTTCCTTTAAAAATGTATTGTGGATCCTACGATTAAATTTAAATCGGTAGCATATTTAGTGCTTAACATGCATGTTCACAGCTTGATGTCGGAACTATAGTCCAAGATAAAAGTCATTACATGCCTAACCAATGGGACAGGGAAGGATTCCTCATCACCACCTTTTTTGCTTACCGCCCACCCAAATGAGTGTAGATACTAACAAACACCTTTTAAATTGCGTTATAATGTCACTACTGTGCTGTGCGAAAACCCTATAACTAAGCTTCTTTGGATTGTTAATGGTTAGCAGCGCTTCTAATGTCACTAGATTCCTTCAGCTCAATAATTGAGGTAGTTGTTGAAGAACAACTTCATTTTTAAATAACTTAATGACCGATTCTCTAATCTTCAAATAATGTGCATTTGTAAAACGCGGTGATAGAGACCAAAATGGGTGCCTCTTTAGACTGAAAGGTTTTTTTTCCTGATATCACTTCTGCGGCACCTCAAGACCTTTCTTACTCAGAATACCTAATCAACAATGGGTCTTTACCTTAAGACGATCTCGCAAATAAGAAAAATGCAATGCATCAACAACAAGCCCTTCTGCAACATCAAGAAGTAACCGAACGCTAACTTGGACTGTACCCTGCTGAGATTGTCCTTTCTGGTTAAAAATTGCATAACAGATAACCACATAAATGTGTTAAGCCCAAAAGGCAATTCTTATCCACAAATAAAGCAGTGAGCTGATAAAGTAAGAGGAGGATGGAATATGTGGGTATGCGGTGCGAATTCTTTAACCACAGACGTGAGGAAGAAGCGAAAAACGAAAGTAAGCTGTGGGTTTAGTGCTCCTTACGTCGTACGGAAGCTGGTTTTGAAATGGTCTGTTCAGAAGTTCTTACCACATTAATGCAAGAAAAGGGCCAAAGGCAAGACTTGCATTTCCTGGCTTTCAGTAATGCCCTCAAGGAGATCAGCCATCGCGGCTGTCTACAAGCGGCCGCCTTTGAATGACTGTCCAACTGGTCATTTCACCAGATTTGCTTCAAAATGCATTGCCACTAAATTATATAATACTTCGCTAAATTCGACTACCCGCATGACTGGCGGCCACGTTTGGATCATTTTCATTTTACTGGGTGAGCCTGTGACATCCCAAGACCTTCCATATTACAAGCATAAGGTTTGGTTTGCATGACCACCTGATGACCGGCGGATTTCTTGGGCATTTGTTTCCTCTTGTGCGCCTGGACTGGCCTTCGGATTATGCGAAAGTTCAAATTCCTTCTTACCCCCCTGGAACAAACATTTATCGCTTCAATGACTTGAGAAGGAAGCGCGCCTACTTAGGGTTAAGGACTCTGAATTTTTGCCCAAGAGAAGAGTCAAGAATGATGTCGCCGTCTCGTAAGCAAGCTTTTAACAACAGGAACGACACAGTTTCCAAAAACCACAAAAAAGTTTCACGTTGGAGTTAACACATCCACACACACTAGGCTAAACCTTTCTCCTTAACAGCACTGTGTTTGACACCGTCTTCTCCCTTCAACAACTGCTTCGGGTCATTGCACAAGTCTAGTCATGGAAAGGAATGAGTGTCAGCAGAAGATCTCTGCGTTATTTTGCTTTCAGGTTAAACGTGCCGAAATATGTTGTGGCTGGTGACACGAGCAATGTATGGGAAGAAGGGTAGAAGCCGTCATGCGATTCATTTGCTTTTCGCATGTGAGCGTGGGCTGGCTTTCGGACTATGTCAAAGTCCATTCCCTTCTTCGCTTTTTGGGAAAGCCTTTAGTCGGCCATACGAGATGCCTTCTTCCATCCATTGAAAAGTCTTGAAACGCTTAATAGGTGGTGGTGGTGGTGATGGAAGGAAAATCCGATTTTTTAACGTCCGCGTTTGGCGTTAGCTTGTCCCCTTGTTCCACAGACAAATTATCATCGGCTGAAGTAACACTTCCGTGAACTGTCTGGAAAAGTTTCGTGTCGGAATGCTCCTTAATACATATGAGCATAAATGGGACAATTGACACTACTTTGGACCTCCTCACATACGGGACTGTGTTTGATTCCATCTGCTCTGTAAAACAATTGTACAAGACCAGTCTCACAACGCCTAATCCTGGGAGCAACTGATGGCTGACAGATGTATGCCACTCTGATTCCTACTATCACTCTCGTGGCAGTTGATGATTGGCACGGCTGGCTCGTGGGTGCTTTCTTGAAGTGTCGAATATGTTGTGCTGGTTGGGGTGGAAGATGTACCAAGAATATCGCCGGAGACGCTGCTACATAGGAGAGAGAGGTTGTTGAATACTTAGTCTATATGATCGTCTAATGTCTAGCGGTTACTTTGGTATTTGTCTTGCCAGTGTATCAGTGGACTGGCCTTCTAAAAAAGCCCAGTTCTTTACCAGTTTCCTCCTCAGGGAATATATGCGCTCTACCCAACGTAATGCCATCTTACACCTAATGGAAGGTACCGAGGTGCCACAAGACATATAATTCGAAAAAATAATTACAAATCATATCTTTAAGAGTGATT